TACAGTCGAGCCAACGAGTCCAGCAATAAAGTTATCCCGGAACTGGCAAGGTCAGTGACGTACGAACGCAAATAAAGTGATATGAATCCGTTCGGACTTGTTGGTGGATAAAAAAATGAACTTTGTTTGCGAGATGAATCACGTGCAACTCGGATGTGTTGATTACGTGCCTCTTCGCCGTTCTTTTTTGCTTAATTGCGGCTGGCCCTTTGTAGAGAAAAAGTCGAATCTATGATAAAAATGGAGTTAAAATGGGAGTTGGGTGCGAGACATCTTCAGGGTCACTCGGGTTTTTCCTAGGATACACCTATAGACTTTACACAACCATGTGCGGACTCCAGGGTAGAACTGTTGACATATGGTAGCCGATGAACGCATATTGCGTATGCCCAGCTGTTGTTTGCCGCACCGCACTTTATTCGCTGTAGCCGCTCAGGGCTGAAGGAATCCACATGGAGGTTAACAGATGACGTGGAGACGAGGAATGAAGAAATGCACAGAGCCATTAGGTAAAGTAGGTGTCTCTCGTCTTCCGGGTTGGGGTTTGAAAGACTGCACTCGGTTGGTAGCGACATTGAAGGATATGGCAGCACTGGTGTTCTTGTTACCGTTTCCCAACAAGAGAGAATGCTTGAAACGGTACGTATGAACAGTTAGATTGCGTCTTCTGTGTTTATCACAGAGATTCACCTTCTTCCTCCTCTCTCAAATTAGATCCAATCCCTGTCCATCTCACATATTACCTCTAATATGTTAGGCGTTGCGAGTTTGGCAGCGATGAGTGAAGTGTGCTTCACTGTTTCGCTGTACGATGATGATGACGGTACATGTAGGTGCAACTCGCATTCCTTTTAGTTGGATGGCGTTCCTTCATAGCAGTTGGCTCAGGCAGTAGATTCCACCCGCCAATTCAGAAGTAGCTGCCTTGGCCTGCCAATCAGTCTCGCCAAGGCCTTTGGTTACTTAGTTTAGCCCGCCTGTCAAGCGGTTTGCTGGGGTGTGGCCACTGATGCATACCTCAGCTTCGTGGAGCCACGGGTGAGAGTTGACTAGATGATGGAGACCAAAGAAGATGCCCCCAACGGGGACACGATAGTCAAACCTACTCAGAGGAGTTGCTTCCATTAGATAACCTGTGTGGTGATGAGTGACACAAATCATGAATTTAATTTCAACAGTGCGATTATGGCAGCCAATACACAGCTCCGTCCTCGCATGCCAGGCCCGGCTTACTGAATAGTTTGATCTTAAACGCTCGATCGGTCGCCCGGATGAATTCAAACGTGCCATCCGGCGTTGCTCCAAGATCGACGTGATTTCCACCACAATTTGTGCATGCCTGTTTTCACCGGAAAGGCGAGAAAGCCGCTCGAACTCCGAAACACCTGTCAGCTGATTCAGCAATTGATCCAAATGACCTATGGACCGAATAAGATGTTCGTAAGCAAAGCATGTGATGAAAAGCGCCGAATCAATATTCAACGAGAAAACAACTAATACGTGAGGATATTGCACGTACTTGAATAAAGTAGATAGCCAATGCATTTTCCAAGCACCACGAGCTTTTCGATAAACATTCAGAATTTTTCAACTGATAAATAACGCCTCGTCTAGATAACAAACCAAATTGAGATTATGCTCTATGTTAGTGTAGCGCTGTTCGACACGGAATTGGCACCGCCGAATAGTGAAATGCAGTCACAATACTGAGCTGGTCCAGCTCCTAACCCCAACCGAAATGGGCAAATCAATGGTGAAAGTAGACAATTATTAATTTTTCGACAGCTAACTAGCACCGGGAGGACGAATCTAGAACGAAGTGTCGGAAAATGCAGAGAAGGTTTGATCAGTGTTCGTTCACTTTGGACACCTGTGAATGATGATGATGAAATGTTCTTCTATATGGTGCAGAGAAAAGGCTTTTTCGAACACCGCCGATTATCTAGCAATGCTCTAGTATGAAAGGCAAATAGAGCAGCAATACTGATATTAGGCGGTCTTAGGTAATTGAGGATAATGGAGAATTGGAGCAAGTATTTGACTGTCGTATTCTGCATGCCACCAGATAGGCTACGTCAGCGCGCGATGTTTGCCGAGGTAGGTAACGGAATGGAGAAGATAAAAAAAGACCAGAATCTAACCTAGCATAAAGCTATGAAAGCCCAAACAAAGGAACTCGGTCATACAGGTCTGAACCGCAACTGAAAATTCTAATCAACGGTGTGTTTTGGTCTGAGCGAGTTACTTGGTACATACTATTAAAACAGGACGAAACTCTCGAACAAAATGAATAA